GCAATTCTGCTGTTGGTTCGAGGTCGCGACTATCTGGACTCTTATGTATGATGCTGTTTGATTGCTGAAGTTCGCTATTGCTCATCTTCCTTGCAAATTGCTATTGGAGCTGTGGTACGATTGCGCTCATCGGGCGCTTGTCTTCTGCCTGGTACGGTACATACATGCGGTCTGCTTGGCGAGTTTGGCCGTAAGTGGTGTGTAGTGAGGAGGGCGGAGGTGAGTGAGTGGCGACCCAGGAGGTGAGGGGATCGCCAGGAAGGCTACGTGGGGTAATGTGGTCTGGACAGTGTGATGAGAACTATCTAATGTGCGATTGATGCTGAGGTGGAACGGCGAGATAATGCTGGTTGTGCCGATGCATTGACTGGTCATCGCAATCGCCATCAGGTCATCTGGTGAGATTATCTCTGTGGTTGGGGGCAGCTATTTGAGGTTCGTTGCTCTTAACCTTATCTACCCTCTCCGACACTTCTTACCGTGAGGTTGCGTGTTCCTTCTTGAGAGTCCTCTCATTGTGAGGTGTCGAGTGCGCTCAACCTTGCGAGTCGGCAATGTTCACGTGGAGCATCTGGGAGAAGATGGGCGGAGCTTTCTGAAGGGCCCTGGACGAAGCACTGGGTCACGGTCACCATGCCAACCCACAGGGAGTAGAGCACGCATGCGTTGCTGCTTGTCCTTTGTTCGGCTGCTGCGCTGTTAGATGGGTACTGATGGCAGGCCAGCCCTTAAGGGAAACGAGACCGGGCGTCTTTAAATAAGCACCAGAAGGGGAAGCATTGGCTGTGATCGTCGTCCGGCTGCGACGTAAAAGAATTCCTGGAGTCACTTGGGGGCGGACGTTAAATTGCCTCTGGATCAGCCAATGGTTGTAAGGCTCGCTGCACGCGAGGAAAATCCAGTGCAGGGCAGGCCAGCTCAGCAGATACTCGGGGCACAGGGGTGGGCCGGACACACACCTTTAGACACGCAACGCCTACGGATTGCTCAGGGATGCTGACGTCAAGTGATACTCAGGGGAACTAAGGGAGGGGTAAATTCCAGGTGATAAGTTCGAGAAAATTCCATGCTGTCCAATCCACACAAATAATTCTATTTTTTATATCTTGATTAGTTAGGTGTACCGCCATAAACATCTGACAGACAGCATTAGTTAGGACTGCTTCTTGTTCATGATGCTTCTGTTTGCGAACTAGTCAAACTAAAAATAGTTTTATTTGTAGGAATCTGGCTTACCTGTTGACCCGAATGTACAGTCTCCGAAACAGCCACCAGCTAAGTGGTCTGTGCACTACGCTGCGGTAGGCACCTAGAGTGCATTAGTCCAGATTGTGTACAGGGCTGTAGCTTATGAGTGATAGGGAGGAACAGCCACCGGACAACCGGATCTTGCGATCGGCAAGGCGCCCAGTAGCCCACTTGGCATTAGGACCAGAGGGCGACAGACATTTGTTCCGCCAGCTTAGGGAGAGGCAGCAGCAGCAGCGGAGGGCTAGAGCAGCAGAGGCTAGCAGGGCACTTGTGAGTGAAGCCGCAGCTTCAGAAGCCATGGCCACCGCAGTGCAGCAGTCTACTCAGGCCGGTAGTTCAGGGTCTGTTGGGTCAACAGTTGCGAAGACTCAGAGTCAGTCCACTGGCGTCATGGCGAGCCAGCCACTGGTGTTAACTCCCGATTAGATCGCCATACAACAAGCAGCATTGCAGGAGGCACAGCTACAGAAGGCGTTAGGAGAAATAAAAGCGGAGAAAGATAGAATGATTAGAAGACGAACCAGGATGCAACGTAGACAAGCGGACGTTAGTGAGTTAGAGATGGACCTGACGAACGTGCCTGATGATGTGAGACTTGTACGGTCTGTCCTGCTGAATGTAGTAGAGATGCAGGACCATCAGACAACCATCCTTCAGGACATCCAGCAAAGTCTGGCCCTGTTGGTTGGGCAAACGCAGGCAACGTCGCCAATGTCCGGGCCTGGAGCCTGGCCCGTTGTACATCCTCCTCCTTATGTCCCACCGGTGACTGGGGTATCCCCATATGTAGCCCCGTCATCGGTAGAGATCGTTTCCCTGGGCATGCCGCTGTCAGGAGGGGTATCAGTAGGGACTAGTTTGCAGGTTCCTGTCCAGACAGTGTTCACCCAAACTCCTTTACAGGTTGCATTCACCACGCAGCCTGCTGTCTCGCAGCCTGTGCAGCCGCAGGGCACACAGCCCCAGCAGCTAGCACAGCAACCTGTGTCACAGGGTCCACAGCCCGCCGTGATGCAAGGACCGGGACAAACACAGTGGGTTCCAAAGACGGCCATCGTCGCTCCGAAACCCTTCACAGGGGACAAGAGAGGCGAAGACCTCGACACACGGTTGAGGTCAATGCCAGTCTATGTCAGGTGTAAACTTACCTTGCCGCACGAAGAAGTGCTTGTGGCTGCTTCCTACCTAGAGGGTAGTGCAGCAAGATGGTTGAGTGGTTTAGTGCAGCTCCAGGGGTATGGTCATGACTTCCGCGCTTGGCGGTTACCCAGAAATTGGAGGACTCAGGACTTCCTGAAGATGGTGGAGGACAGGTGGCACGATCCTCAGGAGGCCCAAAGGGCCACTGATGCGATCCTGACACTGCACACGCGGCAGTTCAAGTCAGTAAGGGAAGCCACCGACGCTGTTGAGCGTCTGATATGTGTCCCATGGGTGCGCTATGACCCCCAGGTCTTACTTACCTCGTACCTGAGATACTTCTCATTGCCTCTCAGGAACCAGTTGGCAAGGGAGGCCAACATCAATATGCACAATTTTCCTTTGTTCAACAAGATGGCCCTAGACCTTGAGGCTAAGATAGGGCATGGACAGGCACCCACTACGAATGGGAGGAAGTAGACACTGCCTCCCAACTGGAAGGCGAAGGGTCGCTTAATGTTTGTCGATAACGATGGTTCTACTATCGAAGTAGACAAACACTTCCAGGAAGGAGTAGGTTCAGAGGCGGGCAGCGTAGAAGCTTCAGAGGGTGGAGTAGTCGCTACCGGAGCTCAAAAAGGTAAGGCAACCGGTAGACGTCGTGGAGGCTCCCGGTCAAGGAGTCAAGTTGACCCCAACGCTCCCCCATGGGAGAAGGCGGGTCACAGAGGATGTGTGGAGAGATTGGTACTCACGGCAGGCTTGTATTCGTTGTGGTCAATATGGCCATAGCCAATACAAGTGCCGCAACAAGAAGGTAACCGAAAAGATCCCGCCTACGATGGGGCAGGTGTTGGGATCCTCTCATCCCGTCGGTAGCAATGTTGCCAGTTCTTCAGCCAGTGCTCCGGGAAACACGTCGGGCCAGTAGGAATAGTAGTTGTTCCTGTTGGGGTCGAGGTGGTGGAGACACCCTCACCATCTCGAGAGAAGGCCTAAGTTACTGACTCCAGTGTCGTCCCGCAAACACGTTCAGACCCATCGAGCCTTTGTCCGATGAATGTGTTTGAGTCCTTAGAAGAGCTAGAGGTGGAGTGGTCTAGATCAGACCCGCTAGCTTCTTGGTCGGCCCTAGTCAAAGCCCCTAAGGGTGAGATGTTTGTCAACGAGGTTGTCATTGGCGGCCGCAAGGCCGAGGCCTATTATGACACTTGCTCGACTAGGAACTTTATCAGTCATGCGTGCGTTGAGAGACTGCGCTTACGCGGGCAAGTGCAGCGCCTGAGTCGACCTGTGGAGTCTACCTGTGCCAATAAACAGCGCATGGTAGTCAATGACTACATCCAAAATGTGGAGCGTTGTTTCCCGTACGCGGGAGGGGAATTGAGACATTACGTCTCGTTCCTAGCAAGTGACGAGCTCCCAATGGATATGTTACTAGGAATGTACAACCTCTCTGTGGCTCAGCCCTAGTTTGACTGGGACCGAAAAGTGGTCAAACACACTTTGCCAGGTGGAGGGGCCACCAGATTGCACAAGTTTAAAGCTAGTAGTCTGGTCGAGTCCCATCGATGCATGTGTGCAGCCGTGTTCTATAACTACTATAAGCAAAATCAGGAGGAGGGTATGTACCTAGTTTATGTCTCTGCTGTAGGCGAGCCGGTGAAAATGTCGTTGGAGATAGAGTGAGTAGTTGCCAAGTACCCTGATCTATTTGAAGAGCCGACAGGGGTTGTAGAGAAGGAGGTCGTCCATGCGATAGAGATTATCCCAGGGTCTAGCATCCCGAAGGGTAGGATCTATCGGATGTCTCCAGGCGAGCTCGATGAGCTTCGCCGACAGCTCAAGGAACTCGCAGAGAAGGGTTGGATCCGACCGAGTGTCTCTCCTTATGGATCTCCAGTACTATTCGTACCTAAGGAGGAGGGTACACTTAGGATGTGCATTGACTATAGGGGCCTCAATGCCATCACTGTAAAGAACAGAGAGCCCCTACCGCGCATCGATGATCTGTTAGATAGAGTGCAAGGGTGTCGATACTTCAGTAAGATAGATCTGAAGTCCGGATACCATCAGATTGCAATCCGGCCCGAGGATCAGCACAAAACCGCTTTTCAAACCAGGTACGGTCTGTACGAGTTTGTGGTGATGCCTTTCGGCCTTTGCAATACTCCTGACATGCTATGAATCGGATATTCCATGACTACTTGGATAAGTTTGTCATCGTGTACCTCGATGACATACTTATTTTTAGTAAGACTGTCGAGGAGCATGTTGCACATTTGGACAAAGTCCTCAGCCTCCTGCGACAGCACAAGTTCAAGATCAACGGTGAGAAGTGCGAGTTTGGCCGCACCCGTGTCTTGTACTTGGGCCATGAGATATCCGCGGAAGGGTTAAAGCTCGATGACGCGAAGGTGGCCAGCATTCGTGATTGGCCACGTCCTCAGTCTGTGACTGAGATGAGATCTTTCTTAGGAATGACAGGCTACTATAGGACTTTCGTTAAGAACTATAGCATAATGGCCGCTCCTTTAACTGATCTGACCCGCCTTGACACCCCATGGGAGTGGACAGGTGAGTGCGAGGCTGCTTTCAGACATCTGAAGCATGCGTTGACGCACTACGAAGTCTTGAAACTTCCTGATCCTGATAAGCCGTTTATAGTCACCACGGATGCCAGCCAATATGGCATTGGCGCCGTGCTCGCGCAGCAGGAGGGGCCAAAGTTGAGGCCGGTAGAGTACATGTCCAAGAAAATGTCGTCTCAGAAGTTGGCTAAGTCCACCTATGAGAAGGAACTCTATGCGGTGTACAAGGCTCTCACCTATTGGAGACACTATCTCCTTGGGAGGTTCTTCATCCTCGGGACTGATCATCAGACCCTGAGAACGATGAGAACTCAGCCGGTGCTCTCTGACGCTCTCAAGCGTTGGATCGAAGTCATTGAGCAATATGACTTTGACCCTCAGTATCTGAAAGGGGAGTACAACAAGGTTGCGGATGCCTTGTCGCGTAGACCTAATTTCTCAGGTGCGCTGATTACTAAGTTTGATCTGACGGACAATGTTACTCAGTCCTTGGTGGAAGCCTATCGCGAGGACCAGTTCATGTCTGAGATCATCCGCAGACTCCAGACGAAGGACAAGAAGACCTCTGCCGAGTTTGAGTTGGTCAATTACTTGTTGTTCCTTGAGAAGGCAGGGAATAAATGATTGTGTCCCCCGAATAACGAGTCTTTGCGTATTTTGTTCTTAGGAGAATGTCATGATGCCACCGACCATTTTGGGTATAAGAAGACCGCAGCTAATCTGCTGCAGCGGTTCCAGTGGCCCACGATGATGCGAGACGCCCAGCTGTACGTGGAGACTTGTCAGGTATGTCAAAGAGACAAGCCCCGTACTCAAGCTCCTCTTGGGCTCCTGAAGCCCATTCCGATTCCGAAACGGCCTGGTGAGAGTCTATCCATGCGCTTTATGGATACTCTGTCACCAGCAAGAGTGGGATGCGACACATCTTTGTCATCGTGGATAGATTTAGCAAGTATGCTAGGTTAGTGGCAATGCCGGAAACAACAAGAACGGAGTATGTAATCAGAATGTTCAAAGAGAACTGGGTCAGGGACTTTGGTTTATCGAAGTCTATTGTTAGTGACAGGGATGTCCGGTTTACCAGCGAGTTGTGGAAGCCCGCTGCTGCAGAACAGGGAACTCAGTTGCAGATGACTTCTGGGAATCACCCAGAGGCCAACGGTCAAGCCAAGCAACTGAACCGCATTGTACAACACCTGTTGAGGCATTACATCAAGCCCAACCAGGTGGACTGGGATGAGAAACTTGCTCTCATCGCCAGCTTGTACAACAACGTTGTACACAGCGCCACCGGGGTGAGCCCAAACAGCTTACTGCTAACATTTAAGCCTAGACTGCCCCTAGACTTTCTTCTTCCTGAGAATCAATCCATTGCTGCACCAGGTACCTTAGAATTTGCTTACCTCTATAAACAGAAGATGCATCAGGCTGTAGAACAGATGCAGAAGGCGCAGGCTGCAATGATGGAGTCTGAAAATAGACACCGCCGGCCTTTTACATTTCACGTTGGGGATAGGGTCTGGGTTAAGTCTTCAAAACTGGGACAAGAGCACGAGATCTCCCGCAAACTCATGCCCCAATACTTTGGACCCTGGGAAGTCTTGGACATCGTTGGGACAGATCCGGATGGGCCATCTTATGTTATCCGGGTCCCTGGTCATCTCCGTACTTACCATGTCTTTCATGCCTCCAAGCTGGCACCTTTCAAAGAGACTGATCAGTTTTCTTCTCGTCGCTCAATGCTGCCCCCAACCATGGACGGAGAAGTGGAAATCGATGACATCGTGGATCACAGGGAGCTGCCAGCTCAGAGACCTGCAGGAAGGGGACGTCCTCCAAAACCGAAGCTGCAGTATCGCGTTCGGTTCAGACATCATACTAATCCCAAGGAGGACCGTTGGTTCACGAGAGAAGAACTCATGCAGACCTCTCCTCAATTTGTAGCCCACTATGAGAAATCTCTGCAGAAGGGAAAGCGCCCCATGATTGAAGACTGAGCTTCTCAGAGGACTGTTGAAGCTAAGGAGGGAATGCGAGGCCATTGCCTCGATAAGCCCCATAAGGCCCCATTTTGCAGCCCGTCGGCCGCCCTAACTGAAGGTAGACTCGACGAGGCCCTCAGGGCCTTATTCTGGCCGCCATGCAACTCAGAGAAATTCAAGCAGTTGCGCAGCGCCAGTTGGTTGAGTGAACCCAGGCCCTGGGCCGCCTGTGTGAATGTATGTGAAGCAGGCCTTCGGCTGGATACGGG